TGCCTCGATGTTCATCCTGTCTTCCTATCTTGTAGAGAATGGAGAGAGAACAAGGAAATTTTTCTCTAAGCGTCAAGATCAGATGCTGAAGATTCTTCGGAAAGTATTGGCTCACCTAGTGCTTTCTTCACATCATTAGGTGAGAAAAGATTGATTAGTTTTGCATGTTCTTCTCTCAGTCCGGGGCGATAGAGAGCTCCAAAGTCCCAGAACCTCATGCTCATTGCATCGGATACCTTAAACAGACAAAAAAATGAAAAAAAGTGAAAACGGTCAATTTGCTCACGATGCTTTCACCGTTATTTCATATTTATGTGAGGCGCCAAAATGCGCGCCACTATACGAATTTGTAGTTAAGAAGGAAAAAAATCAAAATAAGTCTTTATGAAGTAGAACCTTCAAAACAGCCTCACCGTTTTCAGTGTCGTCAAGCGATCGTCTATTGCTCTAAGGAATGCGATACCATGTGGTTCCCCATTCATCGTTATTGTGACGGTCGATCCTGGCTTTATGTTGTCCCGCGAAGAAAATAGCGAAACCTCAAGAATTGTCAAGTCACGGCGGAACCAGTCCGGAATCTGACCCCCGGGCGCGTTCGTGATAAGGGGTGGTATGCCACTGCGCCATCTCCACGGCGAAATTTTTGAATAGTGTCGAAATTCGGACCAGAAAACCCAGCAGTACAAAAAAATTACTGCCCCTCTAGATGCCTACTGTATCATACCTCGCATCGATCCTTAACATGGAACTGGACCATATCTGCTGTGGCTTTGGCATCCATCGAATATACGAAAAGTGCACAATGTCCAACCATGGCGCTTGTCACCTTTATTATTAGAGCTCCATCATCTCTCACTTGTCCTGTTGTTACTATCGATCGGGAATTGCAGATTACCTACAAGTGAAATCAAAGTTTCTGAACACCATATGAAAAGCGTACAGAACGAAACTCGTGAAATGATTAATTTCTGAACCCGCTAACAGCGTTCAGAGTTCGCGACGCGCGTCGACGCTCTACGTCGCGCTACCATTGCAGCAGCGCTTCAGTGCTATAGACGGAGATGCAGCCATATACGTACGGTGCGCCGATCGCTCTGGGTTTTGGGAGGGTGTAGAAGAATAGGAGGGCTCCGACTTGGCAGCGCGTACCCTCCTGTCCTTCTTACACTCTCAGAGCGCTAGCGCCCGGCGCCGATCGATACCCGTTTATGTCTGCGTTACGTCAGCTTGTGAGGCGACGCTGACTAACTTGGGGCACAGACCACCTTATCCACACAGAACTTCGATTCTCATAGTAATCGCTAATTGGGCTCGTCTTTCTAGTGAAGGTTATAATTTTGGGCGAGATCACTTGGAGTCGCACTAGTATTAGGAGCAAAACTTGTATTGTATTGAAAACCTACTAACCAAATAGTTCAGCGATCGTGCCACACGCTTTGGTACAGTAGCCTGGAGACGATCTCCAACAGAGTACGACCCACGAAGAGAGGGAACTTCAATCCAAGATGGCTCTAATGACGTCACTCCTTCCATGTTTGGAAGTAGTAAAACCTTTGTTCGGGAGACCATTTTGCCAACATTTCGCACTGCCTTGAACATAAAATTAAAGTGATATTTCAGTGCTATTTTGATGTTAGGACTCACCTCTACCATTATCAGGCTACACTTATTCCAATTCGTTGGGTTCTCAACGCTAAGCACTTCACCAACTGTAGTCTGCAGGTGAATGGGTGGTCGCTTTGTATCGCCAAGGCACTTGAATGTAACATTCAATTCTGAGCCAGGGGAGTCTGACTGGCGCTGCGTCTGAAAGTCCTTGCTCTTCTATCAGTCACCGCGTCAACCTCGAAAAAGTATTTCTCGCATCTCGCGAAGCAGGTTCGAATCGCTCACCGTAATTTGAAGTATTTAGGTACGAGAATTTGAACACCGGTCTCAGTGGAACAATTTCGAAACCAGGGACGAGTGGATCAAATAAGATCAGCGATTCACCACGGTTGCCTGTTCCGTGGTCGCGAATTTGCACTAGAATTCTCGCAGCCTGACGACGATCATCCGTGAAGCACATCGTCATATTCACTGGTTCCTGCCACAGTCCGTCAATTATCTGAAAAAAATTAATTCGGTCCCCTGCAAAAATATAAGGGCTGACTACTTTTTTTGAAGGTGCAAAAAGGAGTAGAAAGGTCAAAATATAGATACATTGCTCATGCGGAGCGTCATGTGGAATCGTCTCTATGTACGTAGTACACTCCTTATCTCTGAGCCAGAGTAGGCGTGGCATTTGAACATGGCACGGAATTGGTTACTCGTGAATATTCCAGGTCTGACAACAGTCATCTCTTGGTTCTGGGTGGACAGAGGACACGACACACAGTTGGTTGTCAAGATGAAAATATCTCCACAGAAACTAGACGACCTTCAGTGTTAAGTTGAGATGCAGCTACGCCCAGCCGATCTCGGGGATTTCGAGTATACACACGTCTTGACCTAGTACCTGTTTCCATTAATAGCTGCTCGCTCACAGCGGCAACGTACCGCGTGGAAAATTGCTGGCCTCGCGCGCCAGCAGCGCAGGACACTGCCTCATCATGGACGCTCCGTTAAAGCGCTGCGATTCACGCGCAGTGACATGCTTCAGCGAGAACTAGAGCCAGATCGGATACGCCGCAAAGGGCAAAGATGCTCCCTCCCTGGAGCCCCTCGATTTCCTAACGTTTTTGCTCTCCTCATCTATGAAGAAGCGCGAGTGATAAGGGGCTATCCCTTGCGCTTATACATGGAACAAGGTGGGCAAGAACGTTAGAAAATTAATTTCTACTCGCTTCACTGGAGATTCACAGCGCTGACAACGTGACGAAGTGACATGCTATTTAATGCCAACCAACGCAGACGAAACTAGCAGACAGCCCCCTGACCCTTAGCGTGTAAGGCAAAATGCTCACGTCCTGTCCACCCAACCTCTGGGCCGAACAGCACCACAGTAATTAACAGACATATAAAATTATGTGACCAACTGATTTCAGGCTCGCAGTTGCACTTCTTTTCGTTTTTCTCAAATTCTACATTACTTAATGAAAAATATTGTCCAGGCCCACTTGAGACTGAAGTATTTGCAGTGGTCGTGATTCGTTGAAATGACGCTTTTGCAGACTGCAGTAGAGAACTAGCGATCCGGACACTGGAGCTCCATGATAGTACCTAAACCGTCCAGCTTCAACGAGGCAGCAACAAGCAATAACCCACAGTCACCTGGTAAGTGCATCTAGCGCGTATTAAACCCTCTCTCTCTCCTCCCTGCCCCGTTCTATGAGATTTTCGGGGTATCTATGTTTGGTACCTTAGCGTATCAAAGAAGAAAAGAAAGGAAGATGAAAAGAATCCCAAAAAGGGTATGTAGGAAGGAATTCTCTTTCCCAGATCGTACATCGCCCCAAATTCAAGTGACATCGAGATAATGATAGGCGGATAAAAATTTGAGTATCATCATCGAGCAAAGAAAAGATGTTCGACTTGTCTAGACATGATTTTACAACATTGCTCCTCTCTGGAGACTTCCAAATCAAAAAGCCCTCACCATTCACAATAAGCAGTAGCATTAATAATGAGCCTGATAGACCTAATACGATCAAATAAGACTCCTTTATCGTCTTACCTAGCCTCGATACTCACTCTCGTTGAAGCCAGTGGTTGACCTTCGGAAATCGCTGCTATTATCTTGAACGATGGGAGTACTGTAATTAGAGTACGGTTATTACGGTAGTACCTACGTACAGATAAGTGACACTAGGTTGCTCAGAGCGATATCTCTAGCGGAGAACTGGCGAAGTAGTAATACCCGGGCTGTCTTCCATCACTCCTATCCTGCTAGGCCGCAATGGCAGCGCTTGCGTCATTACCATGGTCCGCAAAAAACGCACCGCGAGAGGATAACCATCGTAGCGATGACGGCGCGCAGACAGGTAGAGCTATTGATATGATTGCGGGCTGCGTCGTCTGGCCAGCGAGGGCGGAGTATGGAAAACGGGCAACCGTGGTGTCACTGCCCTGCAGCCCGTTCTCATGCACAGGAAAGTGGAGTCGGTGGCGCGACTTCACGCCACTGCGTCATAGAACCCACTCACTTCAGCTCGCACGTGGCAAGGATCAAGATCCATAGGGATGAGTGTACACTCTTTATCCCTGAGCCAGAGTAGGCGTGGCATTTGAACATGGCACGAATGGTTACTCGTGAATATTCCAGTCTGGGACAACTGTCATCTTGTTCTGTGTTGGAAGAGACACGATAACGAAATTGTTGTCAAGATGAAAATATTTCCCCAAAATAAACACTATCCAGTTTAAGTTGGAACATGCGGCCCACGCGCTAACCCGGATCTCAGGGATCGAGTATAAGGAGTCTGCTCATAAGTGAGATCAAGATCCACGGAGATGAGTGTACAGTCTGTCAATAAGTAAGACTTACCGTAATCTTTGACCGAAAATTCTACTCCATACGTTAGGTCCGGATCCTGTACTGGCATAGGTCTAGCGACTATACGCCACTGGCCATAGAACAGATGTTTTGGCAGAACAAATGTTAGGGCTATGTAGCCATCAGATGTTCGATTTTGCTTCCGAACAAGATCGAAACCATGCGGATTCTAGAACAGAATAATATAGAACAAATTAGGAGGAGACTCAGTCCCAACTTTGAAATGATTTTTTGAAATGGAAGTCGATTGATGAACCCAAAAGCACACTCCACAATGATTACATGGCGAAATTTTTCGGCTGTCTTTTCTTCCTTTAGTGATAAGCTCTTAATTTTTGTAATTTTAGAGGTGATATCTACTGTTGAGAAGCAGCAAGGTGCATAAGTGGTAGCGCCATGTTCTGTAGGGGCGGTGTCAGAAGGTAGGAATGAGCCCGCCCCCAGCTACCCTGCTCTACCAATGACGATCGGTTAGTTGTCGATTCAGGAAGAAAACGACCAGTGGTGGAAACGCCTCAACTCGGCACTCCACCACCGACGGATTGCGACGATATCAACTGTAAGTGACTGAGCCTATGCGATCAGTATGCAATGTATTTTTGGAAAGGAATTCTCAAAAAAATCAAAAGTTGAAGTGCACTCTCACCATTAGCGCGAATTCAACGATACCATCAAAGACACTACCCTCATATGTTAATGGGAGTGCTCGAATCGAAACTGAAAGCAATGAAATTTCATGAAACAGGATTTCCAACAACTAATGAGTAAGCATAGGATAAAGGCACAAGTGCAACGGTTCTCAGGTATTCATTATACCCCGAAATTAAAAGAGAAAACAACCCAAAACGGGTCAGGAAAAACGTTTGAACAGATTTATTACCTGTTTCTCCAGGAGAGTATATCGGTTTATCGGTGTGAATATGAATTATGGCAACGTTCGGCCTCACTCTAATTTCATGTTCAAATTTGTCGTGGCCCTGGATATTGATAGATACTTTGGCCTTTTTGATAGTATCATGTAAATGAAATGAGACGGTGTGAGCAGCTCCTGCAAGTCAGTGGTTTCATGGAAATGACCAGCATTCAAAAGGGTTTTTTCAAGGGCATTCCTATTTGTCAAGTATGACTGCCCTTTGGAAAAAACTGAACTGAAATCAATTGTCTACCTGCCCTCTTGACCCTGAGCTTTTGATTGAGTACACATGTGAATATCAACATTATCATATTTTAACCGAAATAAAAAAGGTTTTTATTATGACGAAAGCAGGCGCAAATATAGAGGCGTATCTGTGCCACCTTTAACAGCAGAGTGATGAACAACGGTATTTTATTGCGCTACAATCCGAAGAAGGCGGTAAGATGGACGAAGGGGTACTGAAAATGACTCAGTTATGCAGCTACTGTTGAAAATATTAAATGATATGTTCGTATACTCAAGAGCGAATTCAAGAAGAAATTCTATTAGTATAGACCCTATTGGCCATGAAACCGTATTTCCTTGGCTTCATAACATACTATCTATACAGGGTGGGCGGCGCCAATAAAAAGTTCATATCCGGCGACGAGTCACATATGAGCGAAGTTTTCGCAGCCCAGACAGAGGAAGTGGATATGATACAGGGCGGAAGATACCCAAGATCTTCCTCTATAAGCAGGAGCCGGCTGCCGCCATTCACCTTCATGTACACCAAAATATGAAGTCATCTCCAGTCGCGGCCTGAGTGGAGAACGCCTTTGGAATTCACGTGGCCTCCAAACAGCTGCGGAACTTCTTGAATGGAATCACCCATGGATAGCTACCTGGAGACCAGTACTCTTGATCTGCAAGACCTCAAAACATCGAGCAGCTCCGGCAACGTCGCTACGCGTCCAGCGAGCACCATCTTCACCCCATTCACCAAGTTCGCGTTTCAGTTGGATGTGTTGGACCGGCGCCGCCACCTTGGAATGGCATGACGATATTTTCTTCGTGGGCCCCAGACTGAGGGTGTGCGCTGGTGGCTACATCGAGCAACTCGAGGAGAATATCCCATTTCATGTCGTCGCCCGTACCTTCTTGGAAACTTTGTACTGCTACAGGATTGGGTGACAACACATTTAATCGAAGGGCGTTGGAAAAACTTTCGCCTACTTGGAATGGAAGAACGTTGAGTACCTGGAAAAGATGGAGTATTTAAGCGGGGGTCCTGAACTAAACCCCCTCAATTACTCGGTTCGGGCGGAGCTCAACAGGGTGGTCTACAGTGGCGGAGAAATCAACGATCTCGCTCAACTCCGGTACCCACTCACTTTCGCGCGGCCGAATCTCTCGATGGCGCTCCTCCAGAAGGCTGTGGCGGAGTATCATTATAGTATTTAATGTGCTCTTTAATATGGTAGTAAAAATGTCCGATAAAAATTTAATAAAGTGTAACTTATAGCGCCTTGAAAGTCATGGAGGCAAAATGACTTTTTTTGCCCCCCCCCCCCTGTATATGCGTCATATACTCACCTCCCCCACTTTTGGTGCCGTGCAATACTAGTACAACACCTTGCCTGTACCTCTGCACAGCTTAAAATCAGTTACTGATTAGGTTTCCACAAGTTTTCGAACAAAACGTTTCCGAAAACCGCGGAATGTTAGGCGAGGATTTTTTATAAAGTAGGACCTGGCAGCTTTCGGCGAGCGGTTAGGCGCCTTGATGACCTGAATTATATAATACAAGTTGCTGAAGGAGTTACTGCGATTAAGTTGTTCAAACGGCAGTCTGCACGACCACTTTGGAACTCACGCCTAAAATGCTGAGTAAAGAGCGCCTACCTAGTGTGGGATAATGGCGAAAAAACGAAGTGAAACGGTCAAAAACTGCGGAGAAGAGCCTTCGTTTTCAAAAAGCATCTTTGGACAAGTTCCCGTAAGCTTATTGTAAATTAACCCGCTACGCGGTAGGTACCGGCTGCATGTACTGTATAGTCCACTTCAGGCACCGCAGTCGCTTCATCTGATCTGTCCGCTTGATATTTTACCTGTGCAAATGAAGAGCAATAAACAACATCAGCGTACAAGTAGTCCTTCTGTTTGGTGGCGAGCGAGACGGGCCGTGGCGGGCGTTTCCGGGCTGTAGTTGCCCAGCTTTGGATAGGACCCTTAAAAGGGTACCTTCCTATGAAAAAAATCGCTGCTTCAGGCCTGCCTTAGTGGTCGCGGAAGTTCCGCCCCTGCAAACGCGTTATCAACCCTACTCGTCGTTAAGGAATCATAGTGCCAACTGCCTTTAAAATATTATTTGTGCCACAGTTACTGCATTACCACAGTCATGATGCATCCGGTATTTGAATAGATAAGAAAAGCGAGTTCTTATGGCAAACCGTGACAGAAGCAATCCAACAGAAAAAGTAACACTCACACTGATGAGGAAGCGAAGTCGTGCAACACGTGTACTATGAACCAGAAGAGAACGTACATTCCATGAGAGGACTACTATCACAACAAAAAAAAACCTGAAATATTGTTTTTCAAAACTGTAATAGTCAAGAGGTTATTCATCTCGAAGCGTCCTAATAACAGAAGTATAAGCTGCACTATTCACCCTTCACTGCCCGAATCTTCCGAAAGCAGATCAGTTTTGCAAAGACCGCTGTTTTTTGACACCGGTTTTTTTTCTGCGTGAGCGAAAGTGGCGGAAATTTGTCCCCTGGGGTAGTTTGACCTCCTGAACATGAATATCACATGCGCTCTGAAGAAAACCTCCTGGCGCTCGCTCCACAGGCGCCGGCGCCAAAATACCCTAGGTCACCAAATTCGCTTGAAAACTTATCCCCATAGGATTAGCTTTACCTTCCTGAACATGAATATCACATGCGTTCTGAAGAAAACCTCCTGGCGCTCGCTCCACAGGCGCCAGCGCCAAAATACCCTAGGTCACCAAATTCGCTGAAAACTTATCCCCATAGGTAGTTTGACCTCCTGAACAGGAATATCACATGCGCTCTTGAGAAAACCTCTAGGCGCTCTTCGCCACAGGGCGCCCGGCCGCCAAACATACCCTTAGCGTCACCAAATTCGCTGAAAAACTTCCCAAACCTCACCGTGCCTTGCGCGGGCGCCAGAGCTTTCGGGTCAAGCGAAAGGGATATCCGTAATCAGGAGGTCAAACCACCCCAGGAGACAACATTAGAGCTAAATCTGTAAACGAGAGAAAAAATTCGGAAAAAAAACTGGCTCGATACCGGAATGATTGGGGCAGTAACGCGTAAAATAGTGCCGAATAAGCACTGAAACAATATTGCACCCTTGAACTGATGGAACACCGTAAGCAGAGCTGAAAGATGAAATGCTCAACTCAATTCAGCTTGATCAACAACGAACAAAAGTAATATAACTTGTTGATCAGATTTTATTTTATTGCGTAGAAGTTTGAGATCAATGCCCGGCGTATTATGAACTAAGCACTAAGACACATAGTTAGGATCCCCCACAGAAAGCGGGTGCGTATTCGGTACGCTGGATGAGGGCGTTAGGTATTTTGCCGGCTGAGAAAGATTTTATTGATAGTTGCATTTTTCTCATTCAAAGGACAGAGTTTGCAAAGGGGGAGGGGGATCCCGTACGACCTCGACCACAATTCCCAGAATGAGGTGCTCTGACTACCAGCAAAAAATCTGCCCCAACTAGAAATCAGCACTATCCCAAGCATCGCGAGAAACGACGGGCCAGACCTGGGGTAGTGAGGCCACCAAGCGACAAGATGCTCGGACAAGACTCCATTATGGATCTATTTTTGTAATAGTGAAATATTTTCTCCAAGCCAGGTAAAACAATCCTCCAGCCACTGTGAGGAAAAGTTGGAAGCTTATCATAGCCAGCGAAGCCTCATAGCACGTACAGAGTAATCTGCCTCAAACAGCAGCAACTAGGTCATTTTGAATTTTGAGTCGAGCACTATCCATTACTGCGAGTTACAAACACGACGGCACTCCGCTGCCGCGCGTGCGTACGGAGTCTTTTTGCCAGAATACGGTCTACAACCCCCCCCTCACCCGCCTGGAGAGTTCTCCTATGCGTTCCCCTATCACCCATCCTTTATCCCATCTAGCATTTTACCAAATTTTCCCAACGTCCCTACAATATTTTTATGAGTTCCCCCCCCCTTTCTCTCAGAAGACTGCCACTGAGCTAGCGCGGGGATACTGTACATTATTGAATGAAGCCACGAAAAACCATGAGAAAAAGCGCTTGCAATGATTTTTCCAGAGGCAAAGACGAACCCCTCCCTCCAGCAACACGACCCCCTTTACTGGGGAATGTGCGCGTGAAATGGACACCAGCTGCCCAACTGCTTGGAAAACCTCTCTTTGGTTCAGCTGCTTTCCAAGCTAAATCGTGGCATGCTTTGCGGAGCATACAAGAAAAAGGGAGTGAAGAACCGCTGTATCCATTGGCTCCGAAGGTCCACGTACTACGAATTAGGTGAGCGCCTCTGGTGCAAAAATTTTTCTCGGATATTGAGCCATTTTCCATATAGCACTGCCGTAGATACCATCAGCACTATCAATGTCAGCCCTCACTATGCACGCTGTTTTGTTAGTGAAAAATGCGTTAGAAGTGGAAAGTGTCGCGGCAAAAAGGGCGGAGTTATCTGGGGCGGGGCATGTAATGGGGTCCATTGTGTGCAGTATATGTGCGGTGGACGCTTCGCGCAAGATTGGCAAAAAAGCCGCTCCGCGGAGGATTCTTAGAAAAATGTGTTCAATGTGAGTATAAAATGTGTCGCGTCTAAAAAGGGGCGGAGTTATCTGGGGCGGGGCAGAGCCAGCAAACAAAATTTTTTCTTTCGGAAGACAAGAAAAGGATAAGGCCTTCGAAGTTGATAAACTTTCACTTCTCAAGATATGGCCCCATTAGACTTCCATTTAGAACGGTAGTGGCTTTTAATGCAGTATGGTCCATAAATCTCACTGCCTAGGATGATGTACTATCAAAACGCAGTTATAGGACATTCTTTCATTTCAATGCTCTAAATGACTCTAATCAGACACCTGGAATGTCTCTGAACTTATCTTGACT